ACTTATAAAGCCTAATATAATTAGTAGTCTAAATTAATAAAGCTTTAAGCTTATTTTTAGTTTATACTAATTACTTTTAGCTTCCACTAAACTTATATTTATGTATAAACTAGAAAGAGGAGTATATATTATAAATTATACTTATTTATTATGTCTTAATATTGCTATAAACTTATAAAAACTCTACTTCTAATAACTATATTTACTTAATAATTACTTTATACCTATTTTCTCTCTATATAAGGAGTATCTTAGAAACCTCCCTTTTTTAACTTAAATTACTATAATTAAAGTACCTTTAAGTTAAATCAGCTAAAAGCTAGGTCTTTATATTTTATAATTTTAAATAAGCTTAATTACTATAAAAATAGACTTTTTCTAACTTTCTAATTTATTTATTTATGTTTTAATACACTTTCTATTATTAAGATTAGCTATTTTGTCTATTAATATAAATATAAGTGTATTTAAGGGCGTAATATGTTTACTTATATAGTATAAGGTTAAAACTAAGCTTATATTATAAGAAAAAGTAATAGTTTTAAGTACTTATAAGTCTTTAATTATATAGGGAAGAATAAGAGAAGAGATGTATTGTATTAACTTTAGTTATTATAGTTAGTAAATTATATTTTAAAATAAAGAAAAAGAGGGGAAGAATAACTTAGAATATAGCTAAATTAACTACTAATTATATAATATAATTATATACCTATATATATTATATAATTAATATTATAGGTATAAAGTATTATAAGTAGAGTATTTATAGATAGAGTTTTATATTTCAAAGCTATTAGCTTATTTATAATAAAATAGTTAAATAAGTAATATACTATTATTATTATGTAAGATATTATATATTAATATCCTTTACTACTCATATCATATTTTATAATTACTAGTAATATTAATAAGTAGTTATGTTAATTAACTTACTAGCTGTACTAATAAAAGAATAATAAAAGAATATAAAGATAAAGAAAAAAAGAAAAGAGATTTGTTTATATTTATCTTTTATTTAAGAAATATAGCTATATTTATTATTCTTTCTCTTTTATCATCTTATTAGTAATATTATATTAGAATCTTTTTCTTTTTCTTCAAGACGAAATTAAGTATTATTAATAATACTTTTTAAAACGTTATTTTATAATACGTTTCTCTTATATATGAAGTTTGAAATTTAATAAAACGTATAATTAAATTATTATACTAATTATAACTGTTAAGGAATATACTTTATATTAATTACTTACTTATTATATTAATAGATATAAAAAAGAAGTAACAAAAAAGATATATTAGTTTTTAAGCCTTATAAAATATTAAGAATAGTAGAAAATTAAATATTATTAAATGTTATATTTAAGAAATAGATACTAAATAAATTACTAGAAAAGTACAAGAGTTTAACTAAATAATAAGTTTAAATCGAAATATATATAAATTTTAAATCATCCTCTATTTTAAAACTTATAATTTGTAAATGATTTTTTAAGGTAAACTAATATCTTTGTACTAATCTTTCTGTTAAAACCATTAGGTTTCTATTAAATATACTTACTATTATATAACTAATACTATACATCTTTTATTTTTAAGTAAGTCTTTATTATGCTTAAAGTTCTATAATATAAGTATACTATTCTAACCACTAAACATTTAAGTATATTATTTAGCTATTATCTTTATTTATAACTTATATTATATCTTATAAAGCTATATTAAACTATAATTCAGAATAGGACTAGAGGTTTCTATATATAGAATTCAGACCTTAAAGCCTATTATGCCTAAGAATCATTCTTACCCCACGCTCAGTCTAAAAAGAGATGTGAATGCTGAGTAAAATGCGTTAAAGAGCCGATAGGTTATATCTTCATTAATATTAATCACCGCGAGCTCTCAAAAGACCGCGTCTCCCATTATTACAGATACATCCTCATAAGAGATCACTTGCTTTCTGAGGTGTCGTCACATTTCACTAATTTATAGCGATTTTAGTCATCTTTCAACTTCAATTCAGCGGAGACTTCTCGCGCAAACTCTGAGAGACTTTGTTCTTCACGAAATAGTGCCTAAGTCTAAGTGTGAAATTAAGTCATCCGACATAGACCTTCCTTCTAGTGTGGAGTAGTCACACTTCAAACGTCAGGCAAGCACTCTTGTAGATCTGAAGTAACATTCTCTGAAGCTGTGGTCATTTGGGGGTTATTCTACAGCTTCATGACAACCAGGCTCGCTCATGTCAGATTAGCGTAGCTTTGAACAAGGACTGCGCAGAAACGAGTACGTTCTGGCCCTTCGTTACTTCCACTCAAGCTTTAAGAGCTCTCGGCACGTCTTCTAACTCTCATCTTAACGTTCTTGGGCGGGGCTTGCAGCTCAGCCACCTGTCTGTTCATGGGGCGACGGCCTTCATACTCAGCCGGGAACTCCAAATCGTAGTGCTTCAGGATGTGAGCCACGATCATCTTCAGCTCGAAATCGACCAAGAAGCGCCCAGGGCAGGCATGGCGACCGTGACCGAAGGGCAAATAGTCAGGAGACGTAGACACAAATGCATTGGTGTGATAAGCGCCCTGCTTGGAAGACTTATCATCGTCACCATCTGTCGCCTCGCCTGCAGCCTTCTTCTCTTCTTCCTGCTTCTCTAGCATGTTCGAGAAACGCCAGGGGTCGAATTTTTCTGCGTTCTCAAACTTGGCGGGGTCACGTTGGGCTTGGGACGCGAGGAAAGCAACAATGGTGCCCTTTTTCAAGGGAATGCCGGTATCAGTGACGATACCATCCTTCATGACCTTTCTCAACAGACCGCGGTTGCCGAAGGGGAAGGTCACGCGCATAGACTCGCGTGCGATGCTATCGTGGCCGTTCATCTTGAGGAACTTGCTCTTCTCCCAGCCGCCAGGGCCACTGGCAAGCGCAGTCTTAGCCTCGTCGCGGAGCTTGTTGATGGTGTCGAACTCTTTGTCGCTGTCGACGATGTTGAGAAGCATCTGAACACAGGTGCCGGCGGTCTGATGCATGCTCACGAAATTTGACGCTGCAAGACGAGTGGCGATGACCTTGATGTCGTTGATCTCCTGAGGTCGCTTCTTCTGCGCGAAGCGCAACATGACCTGAAGCTGGTCCTGAGGCTGGTCGTCCGGGTCTTTCTCAAGGGCTGCGAGGCGAGTGTGATAGTCGGGTGTGATGTGCTGGGCAATTTTGCTGAGGTTGTGCCAGGTGTGGATGCTGGCAAGCCTGGCGACGACGGGGAGGAGGATCTGGGGAAGGCAATTTCCGACAATGGCAGTGATCATGACGCCGTCGATAATGGCAAGGGTTCGGCGCAGGTAATCCTCGTTGCGGCAAAGTGGGAGGCCGACGGTGAAGCGACTAGAGCAGGCTGCGACGATGGTGCGCACGGTCTCGTCGAGGTCGATCTCCTTCCACTCAGTATTAATACCAAGAGTCTTGGGGACGATGTAGTCGAGCTCGTCGTCGACGGTGGGAATGAGACTTTGCATCATGTTGTTCAGCTGAGTCTTGACAAGTTGGAATTGCCAGGGGTCGCCCCAGTAGCGAGAGTGACCGAGACTGTATGAAGACAAGTTGGCTTCCAGGAATGCCTGCGAGACGCTGAGCGCGCTGTCAGGCTGCGCAGTGCACCATTCAGTCGAGCTTTCGGGCAGAATCAAGTCGGCTCGACCTCCGTAACCCGGGACTAGGGCGGCTTTTCCTTCCTTGCCAAACTAGAAAGGGCGTCAGAGGGTGTTCAGAATAAGTTATCTCGATGCGCCGTCATCGACAGACTTACACGGTAGTAGGCGTCGGTATATAGTGCAGCGCAGTCATAATAATATCTGAGGCGAGACTTGAGGCTGAAGCTCTTGGCACCCTCCGGTTCGCCAGCTAATGGCAGTCCAAGGCCATCGTAAACGCTTGTCGCGAAGACGAACTTGTAAAGGGTAACGGCTATGGCAAGAATCGCTATTCCCGCTGATGAAAGCAGAATTTCGCCGGTGCTGGGTAGCGCGGAAGCAATGAAGGACACCATGGCTGCGTGCAATGCAAAATTTGCAATCACTTTGAGCTGGCAATATGATAATTGGGTAATCGGAAGGAAGACGTGATGGACAGTATTGGAAGTAGAGTAGGCGTGATGATGGTTTATCCAAGAGTCTACGTTGTTGCATCGGTCAGTGATATATACCAAGATATGTCAAGATTAGGGTCTTCTTTCTAGGTGTGGACAACTTGATCATTTGTCATATTGAGCTGAGCGAGATGAGAATCGCGCGCCGGAGAGATGAACTCATGTCGGACGATGCGGAGCTCCTGCACGGAGTATACACCTGCCAAAATGCATCTCATCATGTTGCGCGGCGGACTTCAGGCTGACAGGGATTGAGTCGACAGCGGCTTGTAGGGCGGCAGAGCTCGGGATATTCGTAGGTGGCGCTGCAACTTGACGGAGTATTCTGCGCGCTGCCTAGCTTCCGAGCCGCATAACAAGGATTGCGGGATAAGAGCCTCCTAGATTTAGTAAATGGGCTATGTCGGTTGGGCATGATCGGCGAAAAGTAAGCTGACAGTTTAGCGCAAGTGGTGAAAACGCTTAGTGATTTCCCGGGCTGGCCATCCATCAGTGGCGGAAACGGCTCACCTCATATCCATGTCGGAGTCGGATCCGGGGATCCACTTGAGTTTTCCGAGTGAATGTCCGGGATGCATGGACGGCGTCTGTGGCTGCCTCGGCGTGAACTGGCTTACTTTGCGCCGGCTTTCCTGGGTGCCGAATCGCATCTGGTTTGAACTGGAAATTCTGGCCACCGTCCCTCCTTGGGCGAAGTCGATTTGGACATATGCCCGAATTGCTTCATAATTACCATCCCTTGGGAAGAGCCTAAACAGTTTGACGCAATTCATCTTGCACACCTAGCTTATCAACATTAGTGTCCATCAGACTGGCCATAACAGGAATCGATTTCCCACACATCGAAAACAACATCATGTCAGTACATCAGGGAACGGGTAGATTCGGCATGGACTACTGTCTAGAAAAGCCTCTCACCTTGGCCTGCGGGCTAACCATTTCCAACCGGCTTGTCAAGGCTGCTATGGCAGAAGGACTGGGTCGAAAGGATACAAGGAATCTACCCGCAGGCAGAGAGTGTCTGGACGTGTATGGAGAATGGGCAAATGGGGGCTGGGGCCTCGTCATCACAGGTTCGACCACCTCTCGGTCTCTTCGCGTCATCGAGGCCATCATTCGCTCGAGCTCGCTGACTTTCTGTACAGGAAATGTTCAAATTGACCCATCACATCTTGGTGGACCCGAGGACTTTGCTATCGACAGCACACTTCCTTCTCACACGACCCTCGCAGCGTACGCTGCATGGGCGCACGCAAGTTCGCGCAATAACACCAAAGCCATTGTTCAGCTATGCCACCCAGGCCGGCAAATCGCATTCCATAAGCGCCGAACCATTGCTCCGAGTGCTGTTCCGATGAACTTCGGCGACTCACTTGGTCCAAATTTGCTCAATAAGCTCGTGTTTGGCACGCCCCGTGAGATGACGGCCGAAGAGATTCGAGACGTGATCAACAGATTTGCAGGGGCAGCCCGCATTGTGGCTGATGCAGGGTTTGCCGGTGTAGAGCTGCATGGCGCCCACGGGTATCTACTCACCCAGTTCCTCTCTCCGGCTACCAACTTGCGCACCGACGAGTACGGCGACAGTGCTGCTGCGCGTGCTAAGATCGTAGTGGATATTATTCAGGCAATCCGCCAAGTTGTACCAGCAAAATTCTGCGTTGGTCTGAAGATCAACTCAGTGGACGTTGGCAGCAAGGGCGCGTTGGCGGAGTGTATTGACCAGCTGAGACTGATCACCGAAACCGGTGGGCTTGACTTCCTAGAGGTGAGCGGAGGCAGCTTCGAGAACCCGACCTTCAGCACCGGCGTTGGAGACGCCACAAACACGGGCGCCAAAGCTAGCACTCTCGCGAGAGAGGCATTCTTCCTCGACTTTTCGACTGCCATTCGCAAGGCCCTCTCTAGCGTGCCTCTTCTCCTTACAGGCGGCTTCCGCTCACGCAAAGGAATGGAGGCAGCTCTCAAGGGTGGATGCTGTGATTTGGTTGGACTTGCACGACCGTCAGTGTTGGATCCGCTATTACCACGACGAATTCTTCTGAATAGAGTTGTACCGGATGATGAGGCCATGTTAATTGCGACACGAGTTCCTGAAAGCAACATGGCCAAGAAGCTCGGAGTAAAGCTGCTCGGCGTTGGTGCGGAAAGGGTGAGCCTGAACAAGAGAATCTCTCGCATGTGTCTAAGTGCTGACTTATCGAAATGGGATTGGTACATCGAACGTATGCATCGAATCGGCTCCATCAAGACATCGACGTTGATTACGGCCGCCGATACCAAGATCGGCAACTCAATCCTTCGTCGATTTCTCTCGCAACGAGGCCTTGCACAATCACAACATGGCATCTATTTAGCTGGGGACATTGCTGATGTCAAGAAGACGCTTCTAGAGAATGAAAGACCACAACACTCTTACGAGACGATGCGTCTGGATCAATCCAGCGTCGCATCCGTTCGAAGAGTGGCAAGCGACATCAACAAACGGGTGGCAGCCGGATTCATGCCGCCGATTCAAGCTTTGGTATTGACCAGCGACCAGAACCAGACAGCTAACTTCCTTCTGTGCCTCTTATTGTTGCAAAGCATGGACAAGAACCGCGGCAGGATTATAGCAGTAAGGAGCAAGCCAGACAGGTCTGTAGTATATTCATGATGTGGGCATGCGTCGACACTGACACAATCTCTCTTCAGCGCAAATCGTCTCGATGAAGAGACAGACTCTGCTTCCAAGTTGGACGAGTCTAGAATCTGGCCGTAAGTTGACTGTTGCAACCAAAGACATTATGCTGAGACTGACAACCACTCTCCCAGGGCCCAACTTAAAAGTCGCTTGGCTGCTGATCCAGCATTGTGCGATATTTCTGTAGCAGAGGTGATTTCCGAAATTGGCTATTCAGAAAGCGGTAGAGTAGAGAACTGGCTATTGTTTGCAGTGATTTCGAATATCATGTGGCTTCTATCAGCGATCGTGTCATTCGTTTGGCCGATGCATGTCGCCGATGGGTCGGTCGCCCGGGACGTGGTTCGCGCAGTTGGCGAAGACGTCAACAGCGTTCATCTATGCGCCTTGGCTGTGTCTGAGAAAGATGCCATGGCTGATGCGGAGAGATACGAACGTTCTTGGCAAGATGCATGCATGCGGGCGGAAATGCAAGAGGGGGACACAATTTTGACAGATTGGCGATGATTTCGCTAAGGAAGTTTACTACGCTACGAAAATGACTGCCAAACTTCAAGGCAACAACCCAATGTTTTCAGTGCGTTTACCAGCGCAATATATAAGTTACAATAGTATTTAAAAATGAGTGAAACTTTTGCGCTAAGCTTTAGGCTCAACGGCGATGTGGGCAGGTGATTTCAGCCTCACTCCTCAAAGTTCAAGAATCTTGAGATGTGGCAATATGGACCCGGTAAATAAAACTGAACAATGATACAAACATCATTACATTCAACTCAAAGATGGCTTAGGGCTTTGGGGTTCATTTACAGGAGTCTCAATTTTGTCTCGCACTTGTGTATAAATGAACAGAAATTTTGTCTTCTGATGTTATCCCGCCAAGTTCCTAATTAGTTGGTCGTTCAATGACCAAAAAAACCAACATCGCCATTTTTGCATGATTTGAAGAGACAGAGATGGTGAAAATAGGAATCTTGATCTATGAAATGGGGATTCTGCTGGAGTGAATGCTGCTCCGTGTTCTTTAATACAATAGATGCGCCACGCATGAGGCCCAGCCGTTTGCAAAGTTTCAACACCATAGTCTCCTTCGTTTTACAGTATTATTTCCTTTGTGCCTTTGCTTTCCCGCCAATGTTGATGCTTCATATCTCCCGCTGACTCTGTACTGATGCTTGCACCTCCGAGATGGTTAAATTAGGCCTTGCCCCAGAGACCAGCCTTGTCCGTAGTCTTGATGGTGAAGGCGAAAAGACCGCCAGCAACGGTAATCGCACCGCTGAACATGGAGACCGCAAAGAAATTGCCCGTAGCCCCGACGATTGCACCGTTGATAGGAGGTCCGATCAGGGCACCGACACCCGCCACAGCCATACCCATACCCATGTACGTTCCCACCTCGCTGGGATCGGGAGCACACCGGGACAGCGATGCAGCAGCGCCAGACATGATAGTTCCCGAGCCCAGGCCGAAGAAAACGGCGTACACAATGATGCCGGCATTATCAGTGGCAGATGTCATGCAGAAAACAATGACACCAGTGGCGATAGAGCCAATGGAGAAGGTGTTCAGGTTACCATACTTGTCTGCCAAGATACCCGGAACAATACGGCCGAAAGTCGAGGTAGCATTAATAATAGCGATGAGATAACCAGCGAGTGCAGCGCCCATACCCTTAGAGACAGCATAGGTAGGGAGGTAGAAGTTAGGTGTGAACATACCCACAAAAATGATAAAAAGCGCGACGGTGAACATAAGGAAACGGGTCTGCTTCCAGGGGTCGAGTAAGAAGAGCTTAGTCTTTCGGGGCGGCACGCGAGGCTTGACGGAGATGACGGCAAAGGTCATAAAGAAGAGGACAATGAAGCCGACGATGCGCACAGACCAGCCGAAGCTGATGGGCGAGCTGTTGAGCAACTTTGACAAGATGATGGGCATGACGACGCCGCCAACAGACGAGCCAGCAACCGCAAGACCAAGCGCAGCAGCCCGCTTCTTATCGAAATACTGGGCGACGGCGGCGAAGGCGGGGATTTGGAGGAAGCCTTGGACGAGTCCCATGAGAATACCTTGGACCAGCATGAAATGCCAGTACTTGGAACAGAGGGAAAGCATCATAAGAGCGAAGACATAGAGGACGGCGGCGGGGTACATGATCTGGCAGATGGTGTTAGTATCAATTCAGATTGAGGTTTCCGCAGCATACGAGGAGGGAAATATCCTTACCAAAGCGCCATGACGATCGAACAAGGGCCCCGCGAGCATGCCGGTGAAGAACTGGAGGAAAGACTGCGTGGAACCGATCCAAGAGATTTTGGAAGCGGACTGGCCCTGCAACTGATGCGTCATGTAGTATTCTTGGAAGATACCGAACGAGTTGGAAAGACCAAGAGTGCAGAAAAAGATTGTCGCAGAGCCAGCAGCAACCATCCAAGCGCGGAAACCACCATCGGGAGCTGCGTTTGGGTCATTTGTGGCTTTCTCGTTGTCGTGATTGAGAGAGTTGGTGGAGTGAGCACCGTCGTGCTCGCCGGTAGAAGAGTGTGGAGCTGCGTGGCCGTCGAGCTCGCTGGGCGAGCCCGCTCTTGAAGTCTTCTCGGGCGACATTATCGGATTTTGCCAGGCGTAAGATGGAAGAAAGTCGATTTCCAGCTTCGTAACTTTGTGGCCGTTGCCGTGTTGTTTTTGTTTTTCTTGATGTCGGAGTTTTATCGTTTGTTATTTGATGCGTGATACCGATGTAATGGCTTTTCAATCGAACTTAAGGGCACGAAGGAAGACCCAATATATAAAACTGCAGACGGCGGCCCCGTCTTGTGAACATCCCGTGGACGGACTCGGACTCGGCGTCCGGACTCGGGATCGGAGTCGGGAAATTCGCCCAAAAGTCGGCTAAGCCGAAGATATCCCTCTGCTGCGAAGATCGGTGGATCACGGTAATTTGCCTGATTGGTGAAGTTCCTTCGGAAATGGGTCAGTCCAACATATTCCCGTGCCCACCGCACGCCAAGCGTCATCAGATGGCAATCTTGTCCTTGTTTTCGAAATTCTCCCTTAAGGTTGCCTCACAACCTCGACATCGGTCGGCTTTCTAGGTCCACTTTCCCCCTCGCGTCTGTCAGATCCGTCCATTCGAGAAGTTTTCGTCTCATAAGGGTATCACTAACAAATTCGGACGACCGCTTCGAATGTTTTTAGTACCAAATTCATCTTCAGATAATTCTCGTTTCTATTTCATCAACAGTTGAAGGACACATTTACGAACTCGCGGCCACCTAAGTAATTTGAACACAGCACAGGTAACGTGAGTCAACTTTGAGGCAACTGCAGACTTCACGCCAAGGATCGTTATTTTTTCCCCAGTCTTGCTATTGACTAACGAATCCCGCTGCAGTGCAACGAGACATGCAAGGTCCCACACCTGACGGTCAGGCACGGCGCCGAAGCCGTCGGCCGGCTACATCATGTACCCTCTGCCATAAGCGCAAGATCCGATGCAATCGTGCTAGGCCGTGTTCTAATTGTCTGCGGTCCAAGACTGGGGCCAGCGGATGTGCGTACGAGAATGACGCCCCCAACCAGTCTCAGGTACCACCTTCAGTGTCTTCGAGCGACCAGACGCAGCATGCACCAGATCAAGCGGCGCAGCCGCAATCTCAGTATTTGACACCGTCGAGCAGCGGTATATCCAGGCCGACATCGACCGGCTTTCCGTCAATGTCAGGCTCATTAGCCGCCAATAGCTGGACACAGCCGTCGAAACCAGGCAGTGCCAGTGGCCAATCCTGTCATGGCACGGAAGCGCTCAGGCTGCAACTCGGAATGCAGCAGCTGGAGAGTCAACTATCAAACCAATCTCAGTCCATTCCTCGTCGTTCTCCAGTCACTTTATCGTCCCCAGCTGTATCATCGTCTCCGGCACCTGCTACAGTCCGCGCGTCCGCGATGGATGCGGATGTGGAGATCATCAGCTCACAACTTGGAGGCACATTTCACATTCATTCGACCAGAGACACCATCCTGGGCCAAGATCAACCCCTGATAGCGAATGGCCTTAGTTTCAAGACGCGCTTGCTTGGACAAAGTCACTGGGCAGTTAGCACTGCACATTTGGCAAGACCTCATCAAATCTCACGCGGCTGTGTGTCAGACACCCATGGCATATACTGACCGTTGACGCAGATTCGTGATATCTTCAGCACTCTCGGACAGTATGAAGGCACACCCGATACGAATTGGACTGGTATAGGAAGATGCAAGTCCTTGGCTCGGTACATTAAAGCCCGACGAACACCAGCGTGGCCGCCGCCACCGAACTCGAAACTCCCTAGCAAAGAGGTTGCCGACACTCTGCTCGACAATTATCTCCGCACAACTGAGTCCATATACCGCATTCTTCATCTGCCCACCTTCCGGCGGCAATATGAGGCGCTCTGGGTCAATGACACAGTCCCCGACCCCGGCTTTCTCGTACAGTTGAAACTGGTCCTTGCCATTGGCGCCGTCACATACGATGACGAATTTTCACTTCGAACGTCGGCGATTCTGTGGGTATATGAGGCCCAAGTCTGGTTGGCCGAGCCTAATTTCAAGGTTCGCTTGAACATCCAATTCTTACAAACCAACCTCCTCCTCCTTTTCGCCCAGGAACGTGTTGGTGTTGCGGGTGACTCTACATGGGTTCTCTCTGGCACCATACTGCGCAAGGCGATGCACATGGGATTGCATCGCGACCCCAACCACCTCCCTGGCCGTTCCGCTTACGAGGCCGAGATGCGGCGGCGTCTCTGGAACACTGTGCTGGAGGTGGACCTCCAAGCTAGTCTAAGCTCCGGCGGAGCGCCGCTCATATCCATGTCCGATTTTGACACCGCGCCCCCTGGTAACTTTGACGAAGAGCAGCTAGAAGCCGATGGGCCAACTCCTAGGCCGCCGAGTGCATTTACGCAGGTTTCGGTTGCGATCGCCCTGCGCCAAACCTTCCCGCAACGTCTCGCAGTAGTGAACTTTCTTAACGGTCTCCGTGTGTCACCAGGAACGTATGAGGATACCCTACGTATCGACACTGAACTGCGAGAGGCGTTCAAGGGATTGAGTCGAATCTTGCGCACAGCCTTCAGCAGCTCTTCTTCACAAGCTCAAAATGCCAAGTCCGAGGTCCAGCTTGTCGACTTCCACATGCAGCGTTACCTCATATCCCTGCACGCGCCATACTTCGGTCCCGCACACGGTACGGCATACACATACTCACAAAAGGCCGTGGTCGAGTCTTCACTCCGTATCTGGCGTGCTGCGTGCCCGCCCCCGGCTCTCGCCTCCAATGGTCTCCAATTAAACCCGGGCGTTGGCGAGACTGAGTCAGACCTGCCTCGCTTGGCGTCGTGCAGCTCCGGATTCTATCAGACTGCCACTTTCCACGCCGCGCTCTTGATCGCCCTCGATTTGCGCTCCCAGCTTCAGGAAGAGGAAGAGTACAGCCTTCTTGGTCCCACGCCTCTGCGGCCGGACCTCATGTCTGTGATGGAAGAGGCACGCATGTGGTGTTTGCGGGTCATCGAGGCCGGAGAGACAAATGTGAAGGGATACTTGCTTATGAATCTGGTAGCAGCACAGATAAGGAGCATGATGGGACTGATGAAGAAGGATGAGGCTGCTGGTGAGTTGATCAAAGCTGTGAAGGGTGTGGAGGAGAAGTGTCTGCCAATTCTGGAACGGATGGCGGAAGAAGTAGGGATGGATGCCGCTGGCGCGGAGACTATTGATGACATACTGGGACAGCTGCCAGAACCTATGGAGTTGTGGCAAGGGATGGAGGATTGGGTCTTCAATGACGATATGAAATCTGGTGATTTCGTGTTTTAAAGTTGGGCTTGTATGAAGAGATCATAATTGACAACAGTCAAACGGTTTCAATGATTAGAATTCAGCCCTCCTCATCCAGAAATTCGTCTGCCAAGTTTGGAGTGAGTGTTTGGGCTCATGTGCTCTTTTTCTGGTGGCTAATTATGTGCATTTGCGAATGGGAAGGTCATCGTTTCTAGACGGAAATGGTCAAGCGACCAAGACATGTGTGTACCGACACAGGTTCTGCTCGCTGACCAGTCTACCGTCTCCAAGCTTGATCCGCAAAACACACTTATAAACATAAGTACTGACCATCATGTTCCCAATCAACAAGACTTTGCGAAGGAAATAGGGCGTTCGAGTTTCAGTTTCATAACCACGAGTCCATCACCATGATGGGGCATGTGTAAGGGGCTGGCCCCTAGGCTTGTTCAACGTAGAGGTGCTGTCGATTGACTATTCTAAGCTGAAGAAGGAGGAAAGGACTTTATAGGGATAGGCGCCTAGCAGCAGTGATGCAGACCGGGGCTAGGCGGTGTGCTACAGCAGAATAGTGGATCCGGCGGAGCCGGATCTCGGTAGCTGCTCCGGCAAAGCCGGAGATCTCGGCCGGGCTCTAGCCCGTTACAGCATGCGGTCAATAATTAGGTTCCAACTTGACATTTAGACATTCTGCGCAGAGCAAACATCGACGAGAACTCTTCCATCTACATGATTTACGCTTTCTCACACTCTATCATGGCAAACTCCGCAATGTCAGAGTAGTGCACGCCCGTAACCTTCAATCCAGCTCGTACAGCGATGTTGCAGAATTCCTCCTCCGTCCTCTCCTTGCCACCCATAGTTGACAGGAAGAAGTCAATTGCTGCCACGAGGAAAGAAGGAGGGTTTGTCGCCACGGTATCGGCGATCAGTAATTTGCTGTCTGGGGCCATGGCGTCGACGACGCGCTTGAGAATGTCGACAGCCTCGTCGTCTCCAAAGTCACGCAAGCAGCGACGGACCGAGTAGACCAAGGCACCTTAACTTCAGTCAGAAAACAATCGTCGTCTCGGTCGAATAGGTTGCATATATAAACTCACCTTGAACCGGCTGTTCCTTGTGGAAATCAATCGGCATCAGAGTTGCCTTTTTGATATTGTCGTCTCCGTGTTTTTCGACGAACGAGATCACACCAGGCAAGTCCTGCAACACGCATCGCTCCATGGGAATACCCTCGTTCTCGTTGACAATTCTTTGCAGCGTCCAGCCCTTGCCACCGCCAACATCCACAATTACTTTCCGGCTGTGGGGTTCTTTGGCGGCCCGATCAGCAATCCACGAGAAATCGTAGAACCCGGTCTGGGGATATGCGCCGTCCATGAGAGGCATAGAAAGATGAATGTGGGCGACCCGCTTAGGATGCTGGCTCATGATCTGCGCGACCGTGAGCTCGGGCTGGCCTTCACCAAATGCTTTGATAGAGTGCAGCCGGCCCGTGGGCTCCTTGATACCGAATTTCTCGTAGTAGTCGGGCATCGCGAGGAGAGGGTGCATCCATTCGTCGCATATCACCATCCACAATGAGGCGTTTGCGTTCGATGTGGTGGAATTGGCAAAAATGCGCGTGTGTGAGGTGTGGCCGATTTGGTCGTGGCCCCTTTGCTCAAGGAAACCAGTTGCAACCAAGACCCAGCATACGCGCCCTAATTCAAGATGTGAGTCGAATGTTCTGTTGCTGATGGGCAGACTAGTCGAGCTGCTTACTGATGAGAACCGCATCTCCGCCAACCTTCTCGGCGAGATCTTGATAGCGGATAAATCCTGATTCGGGTATGTTTTCGAAGACCTTCCAGTCTACCAGGAGGCGGATGGCAGCAGCCTTACACCACGCCATGCTGGTGTCATATACGTCATCTAATGGTGTGTGTACCGCATTGCCGACATTGCGGATCGTAGAGACAAGTGTGTCGTGCTCCTTCTGGGAAGGTTCATTACCCGCGCGCATGGTCTTCGCCGCGGATGTCAACTTGACAGCGAGCTCTTCAAGCTTGTCTGCCTGGTCTGCAAGAGATGCGGAAGGGAGCTGGGTTGTGGCAGAAGGCATGGTGAATGATGTCTATGTTGGATTTTGAGGCTTCTGGGTCAAATTGAAGAATGATTGTTTCTAGTATCGAGCAAAAAGCGTTATAATCTGATCATTTTGTTATTATGAACGGCGGAAAGGGCTTAAATTTGGGGGTGTCTTATTCAACAATTTTGTCAATATAAGTATTCGCTCAATGGCGCTGTGAGCAGAGTCTCGGCGAAATGGATTACATGCGTCAATCGTTTCCCCGTCTAATGGTGCAACCTGGCCAGGATAATTGTCGCAGGTAAGGCTCCTTCGCCCCGACAGTATGTTGTTCCCGTGTAAGTGTACAGCCCTTGAGCAGCCGTTGTTTCGGGACAATCTACCAAAGACTGTCCTCTAATTGGACAATCAATCGGAATAAGCCCTTCTCTCTGACCATAAGCGCCGATGTCAGAAAACTGCAGCTTGCCGCCTGTCAGATCCCCGGGGAATAAGACGGGGAATTCGGGTTAAAATGCGCCATGTACGTATTTCGGGATTTTGTCCATCTAGACGTCAAAACCCGTCAGCAGTGGAGAGCGGTCGAAAGCCAATCAGACGAAAGGTTAAAGACGGCATCAGTCGAAAACTGTATCCAAACGTGCTGTCACATTTACTTTTCGGAATAATAAGTGAGTTGATCGAGGAGCCTGAATAATTTCAAATCGTCTTCTTCAGTGTTTTATATCACTCATCGACCGGCCTGCATTTTCAGTCTTTTGCTATCTTTGCTGTCGTTGAACAAGCTACCGGTTGCCAAAACGTCCTTACGTATCAGCTGAGATGAACGTTAACGTAACCGACGATTTCAACACGGCGCAAGGCCAGCAATGGCTCCAAAGCATACATGACTACAGAGTCCCCCTGCTTGTCGTAGCAACATGCCTCATTGCCGTCCTCCTCAGCAGACCTTTCAGCAATAGCAAATCCGACAATGAAGGCGGCTTACCTGCTTCTCGCCTCTGGCAATGGGATTCTTTCCTGGGTCTAGATACCGTATATGGCCAGATGACAGCGCTGAAGACAGACACCTATCTCGACTGGCTCCAAGCTCTTCACAAAGGCCACAAGAAATCCAAGACTTTCTCCCTCCAGTTCTTCACGGGGCGCTGGATTTACACTATCGAGCCGGACATCCTCAAAGCCGTCTACTCGACCAAATTCAAGGACTTCGGCGTCGAGCCCATCCGCCGCAACTCCAAGTTCACTATGCCCTTCGCCGATAAGGGTGTCAACACAACGGACGGCGAGGATTGGCAGTTCAGTCGCGCACTGATTCAGCCATTTTTCGAGCGCGATGTGTACCACGACACTGGCCGTATCGAGTCTTTTGCTGATTCTTTCATGGCCCTGTTTCCGGCCGTCGACGGCGAGACCTTTGATGTGCAGCCGTTGCTGCAGAGATGGTTCTTGGATATCAACAGCGACTTCATCTTCGGCAAGTCAATGGACTCGCTGATTGATCCATCCAAGGTCAAGTTTGCGACTGATATGGTGACTGCGCTGCGAGGCGCACGTTTGCGAGCCCAATCCCGTGAGTTTTCCTTCTCATGTCGAAGCCACCAATGCGCTACTCAGGATTAATGCTGACCGGGAATCTAGACCGTTTTATGTGGGCTTTCAATTGGGGCTGGTGGCTCGAGGCTATCAACGACATTCACGCAATTGTCAACGCCCACATTATCGCCACATATAAGGAATTGGACGAGCGGGACCTGGCCCGCAAGAATGGCCAAGAGCTTGGCCCGGAACGTACTGATCTTCTTTGGATCATGGCCCAGCAGATGAGAAACGACCTTGAGGGACTGCGCTCCCAGGTCTGTCTCATTATCGTGCCAACGAATGACACCACGTCTATGTTCATCGCCAACTGCATCTGGTACCTTGCTCGACACCCTGAGGCGTGGGAAAAACTGCGCCAAGAGGTAGCTGAGCACGGTGACAAGCCACTGACTTTCGACGCGTTGAGAAACATGGTATATCTCAATGGCGTCATGAACGAGAGTAAGTTCGCTTCCCCTCAAACTTTTGTGTCAGAACAATACTGAGACTGTTGCTCTCTTCCAGCCCATCGCCTGATTCCAAACAACGTAACCCAAGTTCGTGCATGTGTAGCAGACACGGTCCTCCCCATTGGGGGAGGCAAGGACGGCCAGGCTCCGCTGGCCGTCCGCAAAGGCGACATTGTAACCGTTTCAAAGAACGTCATGTATCGCGACCCGGACTACTGGGGCGCCGACGCTGATGAGTATCGCCCCGAGCGGTGGGTTGGTCGTCGCGGAACCTGGGGCTTTGTCCCGTACGGAGGTGGGCCGCGAAGGTGCCCGGCGCAGATGATGGTGCAGACCGAGTGTGCGTACATGTTGGTGCGGATCGCACAGAAGTATCGACGTCTGGAGTCGAGGGACTCAAAGCCATACCAGCCGGTTATGCGGATTGGACCGTCAAACAAGCATGGTGTCAAGATTGCTCTCTACAAGTGATGAGCCTAGTGTCAACTAAATGGAAACTGCTTTTCTTTGTTAGGTCGAAAACATGTAGTAGTTTGCAGATGAGCCAGAAACGTGCGCATGGCTGCTCGAAATAAAGTGCAGACGTTTGCAAAAAACAACATATTCCCCAGATTAATGCCCAAATGGATTAGTCCACAACACCTCGCAGCAACACTGAAAGTATATGACCCAGTTTATGGAACTTCTCAGACGTAGAGTCTCACCTGCATTCAGAAGGTGTTCCAGGAGAAAGAGGTTCATATCTTTATTAGAATCACTTTTGATCGTATCAGAAGTATGTACACCAGGGAATCACAAAAATGTAAGTCCTGCATATCTTCTCAATCCATTGCGTTTGCTCCAGCCACAAACCCAAGGCCAACATGTCGTTGCGATCAACATAAGAACGACTTGCTGAGAAGGGTAGAGTATTTGCGTGCTACATTATTTTCAAATTAAGCGTCATCTCATAGAGAGGTTTTGACAGAGCTGCCTTGACAACCTGCTTTGTTGAAATTGTAAGAATGCGACGTGAAGGTATCACAATGCGGACATACGAGGAAACAGTTGTTGCGACTCACTTTTCGATAGACAGCCAATAGCCATGGGGAAATGAATTACGTTGTAACTAGATTCATGCATTGACGCAACGTACCAAACAATAACTGTTACTTCCAATCCGCCAGAGCCGTCTCCCCTTTCTGAAGGTTTACGTACCCAACGCTGTCTCTCCATAAGATTTGTCTCTTCTCCAAATCACTCGCTTCCGCACTAACCTCCACGGGCTGTGTGCCATCCAAGTAGGCCCCGCCGGCTACATTTCTTTGGTCATTCATACCAGCTTCCATGATATCCCTCGCTGATACATGAACAGTACGCATCGGACCAGTACTTCCAGGCCAAAAATACTCCCGAGTTTTCGTAATCGCTGCGATCAAGATCCATCTGGGGAAGTTCCGAATGAGCCAATGACTCCGCCGCAGCATCCCGGTGCCCATTGTACCAGGGTCAATACCTATGGAAGTGACGCCTTTCAAAGCTGGGTCCGCTGCGAGCCGCTTCTGAAGCTCGCCCCTTCACAGAGAGAATGTCAGTATCTTTCCGTGTGAGTAGGATGGGAAATCCTTACACCGACATGGCAACACACATCTTCGCTGCGCCGTACCTACGGAAGCCGCTCCGGAAAGTCGGGTCATCTTCCTTGGAGCTCCAGGTCCCCTTGGCAATCCCATCCGCAGTTCCATCCCGCATGAACGTCTGCCACTTCTCATCTGGGTAGATTCGCGCCGAGATGCCCGGGCGAGAGGGGTCATGCACGTTACTCCCCACCCAAACCACTCTCCCGCGCTCTTTGACAACGCTCTCCAAGAGAAGCAATGTGAGGAGGAAGTGACCGAGGTAGTTCGCCGCGAAGCTCATATCGAAGCCGTCTTTCGAGTATGTCTGCTCTGCGAACTCTAAGAAGCCGGCGTTAAGGACGAGCACTCGGATAGGAGGGATGACGCCGGATGAGACGCGTTGATTGATGGAGGCCGCGGCAGCACGAATGCTGGCGTTGTTGCCCAAGTCGAGTGATAGGACCTCGTGAGACGTGTTGGGGTCAATGGCTGCTTCTAGCGAGACATTGGGAGTGGAGGCGTTGCGGACCGTGTAGATGCCGTGGTCGCCTGGATAGACTGTTGAAACATGAGATGCAAGTGCGACTCCGAGACCGCCCTGGATGCAGTTGATGTTAGTAAGACGAGCGGGCACTTTAGAGCTACTCTGGAGAGCAGATACAGCTTGGGAATTGCGTACACTAGCACCGGTTATAAGAATGGTTCCTTTCTTCATAGCCATAATGAACTTGTCTAAATAGAACGCGTGGAACACTGAGATTTACCCACTGACTTGATGTATGCGTTGATTCAAATATCGAAACACAAAACCCATGTAGAAAATGAGGCCAACTGCCTGACTGCTAGGCATAAAAATCGGATTTGATCTTCCCAGCACGCCAACACGGACTATGAAAGTATGATAGTGTTTTCCATAAATTCCGGGCATACTTGCCGTCAAGCGGCTGATTGCTGAATTGGGCTTTGAGTATCCGTACGGGTTATTCAGCTTGTTTGTTCACGCCTCCAAATACTCCGACACATTGTACACCGGCCGGGCCTGTTCTACATGCGGTTAGATCCAACATCCATTACTCACATATGATTGGATGAGACAGACGGTCAACGAACTATAGTGGAGGAAACGTGTAAGCAGCCGTACCGGGCGTACCCCAGAGATTCTCCGCCAGACTCCATGTGGTGCTGAATGTGTGCCAGCTGTGGGCCTTTAGTCCGATTTCCCGCCGCGGAGCAAGAGGAACGCAGTGTCAGGACGGGATTCTGTCAGCACCGTCTTTGTTTCGCCGTAGGCCTGCCTCATTTGTGTATCAGGTGGTGATCCCCGTATTCCATATCCGTCGATGACCATCACTTGCTTCATTGAATTGACAACGTCTGGGCGCTAGCTATACAGCATGTCATCAAGTTTCTAGCCTGGATCGTTTGTCTGGTGGGAGTCAGGGTGTCCGAAGTTTACTACCGATAACTTGTGAGGTTGTTCCGTGGCAGATCGATGCAAACGCAATTGAATGATTGTGCTGAAATTCTGCCAGCTGACAGCACCTATCGATGATCCGTGCGAATGTACATGACTCAGGTTCCTGTGTTGCAACAAGCTCGTTTTCTGCGCAATTTTCAAGATCTTATTGACTCCTACATATTCGGAATGCCAGACTAAAGAACCGAACGCAGTTGGGACGAAATGGTCTATCTGACATCAAACGCCACTACTGCTTCTCATGCTACGGCTACCGCCAGCGCGTCAGACACACAGTAAACCAACTTCTTGCCCTTGACCTGACCCTTCCTTACCTCCTTCATCCCTTCCCCAATAGCGGCCAGCCCTCCGCTCCGGTCTTCTCTCGGATGCGGGTCAATCATGCCTTCATCCAGCAAGCGTTGTGAGACGGAGTACCATGCTTCCGCGCATCTCAAATCCTCCGGCCTCGCGTCGAGGTTGTACGGCGGCGCCCACGCGACCGGGTTACCAAACTGCGTGTACGTGCACACCCAGTCAGGCACAACACTTCGACGCGTGTGGCCGCGCAGGGGGAAGAAGTCTAGGCCGACATACCGGCCTCCCTTGCTCCCCAGCGCTTCGTAACACAGCGCCATCGACGACGTATCCGTAATGCAATCGAGAGCAAGTCCCAGAGCGCCTTCGGTATGATCTAGGATCTCCGATCCGCAGGTCGGCGAGTGGTAATCGAAGACGACTTCCGCACCGAGGCTCTCGGCGCGCGCCTTGCTCTCCGCCGAACCGCATGTGGTTACGGTTCTGAATCCCGCCCACTTAAGCACTTGGATCGCCATGCACCCTGTCGACGTGCCGCCGCCGTGCACCAGCACCCATGAGCCCGCCGTGTCCTGGTCGGCTGAGGAATTAGGCGATGGCATCGGAAGCTTCATGTACTGGAACAGCGACAACCCGACAGTTGCGAGTGCGGTGGGTAGTGTCACCGCCGCCGCGAGATCCATGCTGGTGGGGACATGCCAGATGAGCCGTGCCGGAACGGCGACGTATTCGGCGAAGGCGCCGTTGTCACGACGGAGAGGGTTGTTGCCAAATATTCCGCCAACGACGCGGTCACCAATTTCCAGCTGGCGCATATTGCGCTTCATGCGGACGGCGTTGTCAGATCCGCCGACAGATATTCCCAAGGCAACGATGACACCCGCGAACTCAGTGCCGCAGGTTGCGCCGACCGCTGGGGACATCTCGGCGGACTTGCTGTCGACGGGGCCTATCGAAACATAGGCGACACGAACTAGGACATCCGAGGGTTGGATTCCTGGTAGGGCAGTGTCTTGTTGTAGCGCGACAGCGCTGGAGCCGGTGATTTTCAACGCCGTCTGCGTTGACGGGAGGGTATTTGATAGCACCATTCTGAGGATTTGCGGTGTTGGTCTACCCTCCGCAGGTTTCTTCTTTCTCACGGATGAGGAGGGATCTAAAGTGTGAAATTTGAATTCTGAAGGTTGGAGCATCAAGTGATGCTCTCGATGATGTGGCGCTGGACTGGTGGAACAGAGCCGACATAAAAGCCCAAGAGACAGATATGCGAGTGCATATCAGCCCTATCTGCCCCGAGATGAAGTCTCAAAATAGCCCGTGGCTGTATTGCTAGCTTCCGCGACCTCCGGAACCCACCCGAAGCATATTTTCTCAAATTCTCCAGTCAGCGGAGTAAGACGGGGTTTGCGGCCGGTCTGCCGCCGCCTTGCTTCCCCCAGGTGGCGCCCGTCAGATTCCATCTGCCAAAAAAGCGCCGCTGACATGTTACTGGCAAGAAAAAACCGTTGCTAATCTCCAGTTTCGTCTTATCCGAACTTCCTAAAGGAGAATGGATCCTATGAAACCGCTTCTACAAGCGCAGGTTCCCGTCCCCTAGACGCACGCGGAGTAAAGAATAAGCTTCGAAATGGCCGCCGCCCCTTGTTCGCGGCCCCACGTCACCGGGGAATCCTACGAGGCTGCACATTTTCCGAAAGGTCCCTTGCCACTCGGAATGATCCCGCCACTCGGTCTTGAGGCTCGAAGGGACAAGAAACCCTGTGAGATCTGTAGTGCTAATCTTGTAGATACCGTCAATGGCGAGTATGCGGTGCAGTATTTCAAGCAGATTCGGCCCATCACCATCGTCATTATCGTCATTTTGTCAGCATTAGCCATTGATGCTCTCGATCCTCAGACAAGAGAGCCATACGCCCACTTATTATATCACACCTCTTCGTATCGCAAAGAGTATAGAATCTAGTGCATCTTGGTCGATTTACCTTCATAAGATACGTCAAATCATACCATAGGTAAATCACGAACTATTCATCGCCAACCATACGTCAATGCTGACGCCCGAAGCATAGACTCGCATTCCACAATGGCCACGCACAACTACGCCAAGGAGCCCATCGCCATCATAGGCTCATCCTGCCGCTTCCCCGGCGGCTCGACCTCCCCTTCAAGACTGTGGGATCTTCTTCAGAAGCCTCGCGATCTGCTTCAGGAGTTCGACCCGGAGCGCATCAGTCTCAACCGATTCTACCACCGTGACGGCGAGCACCACGGTTCGACAAACGTCACAAACAAATCATACACCCTCGGCCCGGACCATGACAGCCGCAAGTTCGACGCCTCCTTTTTCGGCATCGCGCCCAAGGAGGCAGAGGGCATGGACCCACAACAGCGCCAGTTGCTTGAGATAGTATACGAGGCGTTCGAGTCTGCGGGCCTCACTCTAGAGCAGCTTCGCGGCTCGCTTACCTCCGTTCACGTCGGCGTCATGACCAACGACTGGGCACAAATTCAGCTCAGAGATCCCGAGACTCTGGCCCAGTACGCCGCCACGGGCACGGCCTACAGCATCATGTCAAATCGTATATCCTACATCTTCGATCTCAAGGGACCCTCTGCAACCATCGACACTGCGTGCTCTAGCTCCCCTGTTGCCCTGCACTATGGTGCACAGGGCTTGCTCAATGGTGATAGCGAGACGGCTGTCGTAGCGGGTGTCAATCTCATTCTGGACCCGAGCGTGTATATCACCGAGTCGAAGCTTCACATGCTTTCCCCTGATGCGCGCTCACGGATGTGGGATAAGGACGCTAACGGTTATGCCAGAGGTGAAGGTACATCGGCTGTGATCCTGAAGAGGCTGAGCCGTGCCTTGGAGGACGGCGATCACATTGAGGGTCTCATCCGCGGAACAGGCGTCAACTCTGATGGCCTTAGTCCCGGCATCACGATGCCTTTTGCTCCAACGCAGAAGGCCCTGATTCACAGTACCTATCAGCGTGCTGGTCTGGATCCAATCATCGACCGGCCGCAATATTGTGAGTTTCTTGGTCTTTTCCTCCTTAATCTTCATCAACACTAATATGTCAATCTTCAGTCGAGTGCCACGGTACAGGAACACCTGCAGGTGATCCCGTCGAGGCGCGCGCCGTCAGCGAGGCCTTCGCAGTTGCACCCGGCTCGAACACCGACGATCATCCGTTGTACGTTGGCTCGATCAAGACCATCATCGGACACTTGGAGGGCTGTGCCGGTTTGGCTGGCGTCATGAAGGCACTCCTCGCCATCAAGAACCGCACTATCCCGCCAAACCTGCACTTCAACGAGCTCAACCCAGCCATCAAGAAGTTCTACGGCCCGCTGCAGATCCCCACGGCCCCGGTCCCCTGGCCTAAGCTGGCACAGGGCGTTCCGGCTCGCGCCAGCGTGAACAGCTTCGGTTTCGGCGGGACGAACTCCCACGCCATTCTCGAAAGCTTCGAGGACGCCACTTCGGATCACAATCCGACCGGCGGCGTCATCGGCCCCTTGATGTTTTCTGCCGCATCTGGTCATTCCCTTTTGCGGTCTGTTCAAGCTCATTTGGAGCACATCAAGGCTCATCCCGATCTCGACTTCGGCGACTTAAGCTGGGTTCTTCAGACACGCCGTACCACCCACCGCGTCCGCACGCACTTCTCCGGGTCTTCTAGGGACGCGATCATTGCCAACATGGAGGGATGGGTTGCAACCGAATCCAAGTCATCCAGCAGCAACGTTGGATACCAGCCCCGCCTTCTCAACCCCAAAGAAGTTCCTGGTGTTCTCGGCGTCTTCACCGGCCAAGGTGCTCAGTGGGCTACGATGGGAAGGCAACTTCTAGCCTGCTCCCCGCTCTTCCGTAAGACTCTCGAAGAGTGCGAAGAGACCCTGCGCAATCTTCCCGCTGCTGATGCACCAGCTTGGTCTCTTATTGAGGAGGTTCAGGCCGAGCAGTCGTCTTCTCGCCTCGGTGAAGCAGCTCTATCGCAGCCCGTCTGTACTGCTGTCCAGCTCGGCCTCATTGATCTTCTCACTGCATCCGGCGTCGTATTTGATGCCGTAGTCGGCCACTCCTCTGGTGAGATCGCCGCTGTCTACGCATCGGGTATCATCAACCGCCGCGCCGCCATGCAGATCGCCTACTACCGCGGCCTCCACGCCCGCCTCGCAAAGGGTGCCAAAGGTCAGAAGGGCGCTATGCTTGCCGCGGGTCTCTCACTTGCCAAGGCCATGCTTCTTTGCGGAAAACCGCAGTTCGAGGGACGTCTGCGCGTGGCTGCCAGCAATGCGCCGTCTACCGTGACGCTCTCTGGAGACGCGGATGCCATCGAGGAGGCAAGAGAGATGCTCACCGCCGATGATGTCTTTGCACGTGCCTTGAAGGTTGACACCGCGTACCACTCGCATCACATGCAACCTTGTGCAGAGCCATACCTCCGAAGCTTGTTGGCGTGCGACATCCAGATCTCACAGCCGAAGCCTGGCAAGGCTATCTGGAGTTCCAGTGTGCGTGGCGACACTGAGCTGCTCAAGGGCGATTTGAGCGAGTTGAAAGGCCCGTACTGGGTTTCGAACATGGTACAGACTGTTCTGTTCTCCCAGGCCATCGAGTCTTCCATCTGGCACGGCGGACCTTTTGATTTAGCAATCGAGGTTGGCCCGCACCCGGCTCTTAAGGGACCTGTAGAACAGACTCTCAAGAACGTGTACGGCTCCGTTCCTTTGTATAACGGCGTGTTGAAGCGGGGGGCATCCGATTTCGAGGCATTTTCCGCGGCCATCGGCACTGTCTGGGCCCAGCTCGGTCCGTCGACACTGGACTTCGAGGGTTACCGTGAAGCCTTCTATGAGGAGGGCCAGGCGCCGGCACCAAGGGTTCTCAAGGATCTTCCGACCTACTCGTGGGAACACGAAAGGGTCTACTGGCGTGAGTCGACCATGTCCCGTCGCTTCCGTCTTGCCGACGAGCGCCACCACGAGCTCCTCGGCCGCCGCGCTATCGACGACAACCAGCGCGAACTTCGTTGGCGGAACCTTCTCCGCCTGCATGAGGTGCCCTGGCTCCGTGGCCACACCGTCCTTGGCGAAGTCTTGCTCCCCGCTGCAGCTTATGTGTCAATGGCCGTTGAAGCTGGACGTGAGATCGCCAAGGCTGCCGGTCGTGATGTGCGCCTGTTCGAGGTCGAGAACGCGGATATTCTCCGTCCTGTAGTCATCCCTGACAATAAGGAGGGCGTTGAGGCAGTCTTCAGTGTTCGACAGAAGGAAGGAGGACCGCCTTCAAAGGATACCCTGCGTGCCGAGTTCGCGTACTACGTTCGCGCTGATCCCGCAGGCGCGTCGATGCTGCATGTCTGCAAAGGCGAATTGGCTGTCCATCTTGGACAACTGGCCGAGGGCGAGCCGATCCTACCGCCTCGTGATCTTGAGAATCAGCACACTGTGGATGTTGACTGCAAACGTGTCTATGGCATGTTCGACAAAGTTGGCCTGTCCTACTCTGGCCCCTTCCATGCCCTCGTCAACAGCCAGCGCGTCTTGGACTACTCAAGCGCAACAGGCGTCTGGCCCGAGGACAAATTGGCTAGAAGCGACATGATCATGCATCCTGCAGTCCTCGACGTTGCGTTCCAAACGTTGTTCGTTGCTTTGGCACACCCCGCTAGTGGCTTAATCACTTCCGCGTTGCTGCCCTCGCATGTGCGCCGCGTCCGCGTCAGCCCCATCGTGGCAAAGAGGGATGAGACTGGCAGCGTCAAGACTGACTTCGAGAGTTGGGCTGTCAAGCGTACCGCATCTTCCGTTGTTGGCGACCTGAGCTTGTATGATGGGGTGTCCGGTCGCACTCTCGCCCAAGTCGAAGGCTTGTCTCTCAACAAGGTCGGCGAACAGGACTCGTCACGCGACAGACCCATCTTTGCCAAGACGGTATGGACGCACGATGTTGCATTGGGTTTGGCTGAGCCCGCTCGTAACGAGGCCGATGATGCCGAGTTGCTTCGCCAAACGGAGGACTTTGAGCGTGTCGCGTTGTACTGGGCTCGTTGTCTGGACGATGCGTTGGTAGATGAAGACCAAAGCAAGTTTTCATGGTACCACCAGCGTATGCTGAAGGCCAATCGCGAAATACTTGAACTGGTTGAAAAGGGCCAGCACTCTGTTCTTCGGCGGGAGTGGATGGCGGATGAGGCAGATGTTCTGGATAGCGTCAGCGCTAAGTATCCTGACAATCCAGTCCAGTTGCAACTGCTCAACGCCCTGGGCCAGAACTATCCCGGCATCGTCCGCGGAGAGACCGACCAGCTTCAACTCATGATGAGAGATAACTTGCTGAACCGCTTCTTCACGGATGACTTGGGCTGCGACCGCTCCAACAAGTTCCTCGCGGATGTCGTGTCCCAGATCACGCACAAGTATCCCCGTACCAATATGCTCGAAATTGGTGGCGGTGCAGGCGGCACGGCGTCGAAGGTGCTCAACACTATCAAGGACGCTTACGCCTCTTACACCATCACTGACGCGTCGTCGATGTTCTTGCCTGCGGTGCAAGAGAAGTTCGCAGACTTCTCAGACAAGATGCGCTTCGACACTCTGGACATCAACAATGAACCTACCGCCCAGGGCTTCGCCGCTCACTCTTACGATGTCATCATCGCGACAAACGTTCTCCATGCGACTAAGAACTTGTCGACGACGATGGACAATATTCGCAAGCTTTTGCGCCCAGGTGGATACCTTCTCATCGCCGAGACGACTGGCATCGAAAACTTGAGCAAGCCGTTCATCTTCAGCGGTCTTCCTACTTGGTGGGCTGAAGAAGAAGAGGATCGCCAACTCCGGGCGACCGTACCCGTGCTCCGTTGGGAGGAAGTTCTCAATGATTCCGGTTTCTCGGGGCTGGACATGGTCGTCCACGATCACGCCGACGAAGATAAGCACACTGTCACGGTACTTGTCAGTCAGGCTATCGACGACAGGATCCAACGCCTTCGTGAACCCCTGACCGAGATCGGCACCAGCTCAGCCCCTGAGGGTGGCCTCATCTTCATCGGGGGCAAGAAGCTGGCCACAGCCAAGATGCTTTCTGAGATGCAGAAGCTCATCCCGCGGTCTTGGCGCAAATTTGTCAAGACAGTCAACAGCTTGGACGCGCTGACTGAGGATGATCTCACTAACATCGGATCTCACCCCACCGGAACTGACATCGTGTGCCTTCAAGATCTTGACGAGCCCATCTTCGCATCCACCATGAGCGGGGAGCGGCTCACTACTGTGCAGACCATGTTGATGAAGGTTCGCAACCTGCTTTGGGTGTCTTCCGCCACCACTGCCACCAAAACCCATGGACCCCGCGCCACCATGTTCCATGGTATTGCACGCATTGCTCCAGTCGAGATGCCGCACCTGAACTTGCAGACTCTTGGTCTCGAGAGCGGCGTCGCCCCGGGTGTGGCGGCGAGGCGATGCATCGAGTCTTTCCTCAGGCTCCGAGAGACGGCAGAACAACCCGATGCCGATGAGGACGACACCGGAAAGCCACTTTGGGCAGTTGAGCCTGAGATTGAGGTCCTGAAGAGCGGGGAAACGCTCATCCCGCGTGTCATTATGGATCAAGACCTGAACGATGTCTTTCTCGCCTCGAGTCGCACCGTCACGAAGCATGTTGACGCTACCGAATCGCCCGTTGTCGTGATGGAGCCAGCCGGACCCACGGCGAGAATGGCGCTCCAGGCCTCTGCTGACGATGTCGTCGAGGCAGACGAGGTCGCAATCCAAGTCCAGTACGCCCTGCACATCCCGACTACGCTATTCAACAGTGTCTATCTCGTCTGCGGTACCGATGTTGTCACCTCTTCTCCGGTGGTGGCAGCTCACAAACTGAACGCCTCGGTGGTTCATGTCCCGCGCGATCGTGTGGTGCCGGTACCTGCAGAGGCTTGCACTCCAAGCATGCTCATTGCCACCACTAACCACGTTCTCTCAGGCATTGTGACGTCGTTGGTGACGCCTGGCAAGCCGGTTCTTCTCTACGGCGCCGATCAATCTTTTGCCAAGGCTGTGTCTGCCCAACTTTCGAAGCAGGGTATCGTTGCGCACTTTGCTACCACCGATGCTGACGCTCCTGACTCGTGGACGAAGTTGCACGAACAATCTCCCTTGCGTGCTCTTCAAAGGGCAGTGCCTCACGGCATTGGTCTGTTCGTAGACTGCCCTGCATCCTCGACCGCCATTGGTGAAAGCTTTCGGGAGTGTTTGCCTCTGGGTTGCCAAGTTGTACAGCTGGACGCGCAGCTTTTGCGCAGGACATTCCTTGGCGACAAGACATTCGCAGCGTCGTTGCTTGAAAGGTCTTCGGCCGAGGGCCAGGAGCTGATGGGCAATGAAACCGGCATCGACATCATCGAAGCTGCAGCCTTGCCCAAATCTAACGCTGCCGCCCTGTCAACCAAGCGCTACATCACGAATTGGCAGACGGATTCGTCCAAATCCCTGCCAGTCACTGTCCCAAGTCTTCCTACTGAGGGACTCTTCCGCCCTGACCGCACCTACCTCATGGTTGGTGCTGCCGGCGGCCTGGGTCTGTCTCTTTGCAAGTGGGCGATCGACCATGGCGCCAGGCATCTTGTTATCACCTCCCGCAACCCCAGCGTCGATTCTACTGTCCTCTCGGAAGCAGAGCGTCTCGGGGCTACGATTCGCGTTGTCCCTATGGACGTTACCTCTCGCGAGGTAGTCGAGAATGTGGTGCAGGAGATTCGCTCCACCATGCCACCTATCGCGGGTGTGGCCCAATGCGCCATGGTGCTGCAGGATCGATTCTTCCTCGATATGAGTATCGAAGAGCTCAACGGAACCCTCGCGGCCAAGGTCGACGGAACTGAGAACCTGGATTCCGTCTTCTCACGGCTTGAGGCCGCCGACCAGAAAGAGAAACTCGACTTCTTCGTTATGCTTTCTTCTTCTGCGTCCACTATCGGCAACATCGGACAGGCCAACTATCATATTGGCAACTTGTACATGACCTCCCTTGCTGCTGCTCGTCGCGCTCGTGGTCTTGCCGGATCAGTTATTCATATCGGTCACATCACGGATGTCGGCTACATTGTCAAGTCCAAGGAGCGTACCGACCATCTCGCGGAGCACTTCGATCGCATCCGTATGATGAGACTGTCTGAGACCGATGTGCACCACGCATTTGCACAGGCCGTCAGAGGTGGCAGACCGGGAAGTACCATTTCTCCGGATATCATCATGGGTATCGAGCCCCCCACCAAGCCCGTTCCTGCAGACGAGGTAGACGGCCTCGAAGAGAGAATCCACTGGCTTAAAGATCCGAGACTGAGCCATATGACTCCCTGGATCCCTCTGCACGGTGATGATGATGCTGCTGGCAACGGCGCAGGTGGGGCTGTTGCTGGTAGTGTGCGGCAGGCAGTTGAGGATGCCGAGAGTGAGGGAGATGCGGTCGCTGTCGTCGTTGAGGCATTCTGCTCTCGCCTTGATGCCATGTTACAACTTCCTGCTGAAAAGACCGCAGAGAACTCCCATCGCCCGGTTATCGATATTGGAATTGACTCACTCGTTGCTGTCGAGATCCGTAACTGGTTCTTGAAAGAGGTTGGTGCAGACGTTCCTGTGGTCAGAATTTTGGGCGGAGACAGCGTCACGCAGGTCTGCACTGGTGCGGCGAGGACGCTGATGGCGAAGGTCTTGAAAGAGGGTGGCAAGAAGGAGAGAGTGAAGCCTACCGAACTCCCTGTTCCGCCTCCTGCAGTTCCTGCTGCGGCCAAGGCATATTCGAGTAGCAGCGGTAGCAGCAACTCGGGCAAGGAAGATGACGCTACCGGCTCAATCAATGGAAGCCAAACTCGAGACGCCGTTGATAGTGAGACTACCTCGATCTCCAACGACAATGACCCCTACAACAACCCCATTACTTCATTTTCCGAGAAGAGGAAGGCTGAGATCGAGACTGTCGCTTCCGCTGTCGAATCTAAGCCCGAAATTCTTCGGGAGGAACGAATGTCTCGCGCTCAAGCTCGCATCTGGTTCCTCAGCAAGCACATCACTGACCCGGCTGCCTACAACATGGTCTTTCACTACCGCGTTTCTGGACCTGTCAACATGATGCGCCTGCGCCACGCTCTGAAGACCACGACCCAGTACCACGAGTGCCTACGGATGAGCTTTTATCAGCGCGTTGGCGACGGCAGACCAGTACAGGGCCTCATGGCATCGTCTCTGTTCGAGCTGGAGCACGTTCCTGAAGCTAGCGACCTTGACTTCAAGCAGGCCATGGACAAGTTCAAGACTCGTGTCTGGGATGTTGAGACGGGCAGGACGATGGGCATGACGGTTCTCAGTCGTAGCAGGGATGAGCATGACTTTGTGTTCGGTTATCACCACATCATCACGGATGTTGCTGGCTGGTCTCTGTTTCTTCGGGACCTGGATCGCGCTTTTCGACTGGAGCGTCTGGGGTCGGACATCTCCCATCTCGAGTACACCGAGAAACAGTGGGAAGACGAATCGGCGGGATGCTATGCTGATCGATTGAAGTTTTGGCGCGAGGAGCTGGCCACGTTGCCAGAGGCCTTGCCGCTTCTGCCTTCTGCATCAGTCCGGTCTCGGCCGTCTCGCCAGGAAGAGGCCCTGGATTCCAAGATCCAAAGCGTCTACCGCGAACTCCCCCCGGCGCTTGTCTCTGCGGTCAAAGAGACTTGCAAGGCTCTTCGGATCAGCCCCTTCCATTTGTATCTTTCGGTCTACCAGGTCTTTCTTGCTCGACACGCCAACATCCAGGATGTGTGCGTTGGAGTTGTAGATGCGAACCGTGACGCATCCTCTGATGAGGCTGTCACTCGCATGGTCGGTTGCTTCGTCAATGTTCTCCCCGTTCGGACAAATATCGTTCCCACCCAAACATTTTCTGCTGTTGCCCAGGCCGCCTCTCGGAAGGCTCTCTCAGCTTTCGCCCATGCTGGTGTCCCATTCGATGTTCTCCTGGACGCGTTGGACACTCCTCGCTGGGCAGACGGCGACACACCACCCCTCTTCCAGGCCGCAGTCAATTACCGCGCTGCGAGTGGTGGCTGGGGCGAGATGGCTCTTGGTCGTGATTGCAAGATGACTTTATGTCTGGAGGACGGCAAGGATGTGCAGCCACCTTACGACATCAGTCTTGGAATCATGGACTTGGAAAAGGCGTGCACCATTGACTTGCATTGCCAAGGCAAGCTTTACAGCGAAGAGGCCACACGAGGAAGTAAGTGTATCAATTTTCCAGTCGTTCCAGGAAGCCATCACACTAACCACTCACTGCAGTGGCCGATTCGTACATCCGACTTCTTCAAGCGTTTGCGGCGAACTCAGATCTTTCCATTGAGAAGGCTCCGATCTATGATGATTCTTGTGTTACAGAAGCTCTTGAACTTGGAAAGGGTCCCGTATTGGACTTTGGCTGGCCATCAACTATCTCCCAGCGGTTCAAAGACATGTCCCAGCTTCATCCCAATGAGCCGGCCATCATCTGCGGTCGCTCCACCCTCTCCTACAGCGAACTTGCTGGACGTGTCGACGCAGCAGTCAAAGCACTTAGCCTCGCTGACTGTACGCCCGGCGACTACGTCGCTGTTCTTTGCGAGCCTTCGGTCGATATGATTGTTGCGATGCTTGCTGTCCTCCAGAGCGGCTGTGTCTACGTTCCTTTGGATACCAGCTTGCCAATCGCGCGTCACGCAGCCATGATCCGCACTTGCGAACCCACTATGATAATCTTCCACCCTGCCACGGAACAGCATGTCCTTGACTTGGGCGACGAATCCAGTGCGTCTTTCAAGCAGATCAGCCTTGACGATGTCCCCTCGTCTGCCAATGCCGAGACAAATGCACCCGTGGCGTCCGACGCAGATGCCCCCGCTGTTCTCCTTTTCACATCTGGCTCAACTGGCAGGCCCAAGGGCATTGTCCTTACTCAGGGCAACTTCGTCAACCACCTGGCACTGAAGAGCCATGTCTTGTGTCTCGGCCGAGAGCGTGCCCTTCAGCACAGCTCTCTCGGCTTCGACATGTCCCTCATCCAGACTTTCTGCTCGCTGGCCAACGGCGGAGCTCTTGTAGTCGTACCTCGCGACATGCGGCGTGATCCTGTGGCGTTGACAACTCTGATGGTTGACCACGGTGTCTCTTTGACAATCGCTACTCCCTCGGAGTACCTCGCCTGGTGCAAGTACGGGTCATCTTCCCTACGCAGCCACAAGGCATGGAAGCATGCCTGCATGGGTGGAGAGATCGTCACAGCACAGTTGAAGAGAGAGCTCCAGCTTTTGGGGTTGGAGGGTTTGACGGTGACGAACTGCTACGGGCCGACTGAGATCACCGCCGCTGCAACTTTCCAGACAGTCGCTATCAAGAATCTGTCCGAGGCCCAGCCTGGCCAACCTGCGGAGTCTGTAGAACGGCAGCTGAGAACGCAATTTGCTGTGGGCAAGGCATTGCCAAACTATACGATCCGCATCCTCAATGACATGGGTCACCCACAGCCAATTCACCACACTGGCGAGATTTGCATTGGCGGTAAGGGTGTTTCTGTTCGAGGCTATCTAGGTCTTCCCGACGAGACTCAGAAGAAGTTCATCTCGGACTCGGCCACTGGTGACGTTCTCTACCGAACTGGGGATTCTGGCCGACTTCTCTCTGACGGTACTCTTCTCTGCCTCGGTCGCCTCGAGGGAGACACTCAAATCAAGCTGCGCGGCTTGCGCCTTGAGCTGGAGGAGGTGGAGACCGCACTTCTCCAAGCATCCGAGGGCTTGCTTTCCAGCGTCGTCGTCTCCCGTCGCGGAGACATCTTGGTAGCCCACGCGACTGTCTCTCCAAATCTCTACATCGACACGGCTTTGACTGACTCAGAAATCAATACCATCCTTCGTCGTCTGCACGGCCGCTTGCCGCAGTATTTCATCCCGGCTGCCATTATAACCATGGCTGATCTCCCTACCAACCCCAACGGTAAACTCGATCGCAAGGCCGTTGCCAGACTTCCTCTTCCCGAGACCGATCCCGCTCAAGCCGAGTCCGTAAATGAGAAGGAGGAAGAGGCTAGCATGAACCACCGCGAAGGCGAACTTCGTCTTCTCTGGGAGAAGGTCCTTCCATCTGCTGCTTCTTCGACCATGGGACGCATCGTACCGTCGTCGGACTTCTTTCTTCGCGGTGGCAATTCCCTGCTCTTGATGAGGCTGCAAGCCTTGATTCGGGAGTCTATGGGTGTGCACGTCACGACAAGAACATTGTACAGCGCCAGCACGCTCAAAACCATGGCTGAAGCTGTCTTTGCCCAGCGAGACGCGGACATGGCCGAAGAGGTGAACGACGACGTTGACTGGCAATGGGAAGCTGAAATTCCTGACTGGCTCAAAGAGAGGGTTCAGGGGATGTCCAAGGAGAGTGGGAAATCCCAGCCCGCGAAGTCCAAAGGTCTCAATGTCGTCCTCACTGGCGCGGATGGTTTCCTCGGCGGTCGTGTGCTTCGAACCCTCTTGCAAACGCCCGCGGTCCAGACCGTAAACTGCATCGCTCTCGAAGACGAGCAAGAGGGCAATGGTAGCAGTCACGGCGATATCCGTAAGACCATCGAAGCCAACCCAAGTAAGACAGTCAACACTTTCGGTGGGAGTCTTGCAGACCCAAAGCTCGGCCTCACCCCTTCCGAGGCATCTTGCCTCAGGGATACAGCTGATATCATCATCCATGCCGGCTCCAGTGGACACTGTCTGAACAACTACGCTGCCCTCAAGGCCCCAAATGTCTCTGCTACGCATCGTCTCGCCGCGCTGGCACTCCCTCGCTCTGTGCCATTGCTCTTCATCTCTAGCAACCGAGTCCCGTTACTCGCCGGCAATACAGAGCAGGTGCCCTGTTCAATGGCAAAGTGGATGCCCGCTGGCGATGGAAGAGAGGGACTTACCGCGACGAAGTGGGTTGGCGAAGTCTTTCTGGAGAGTCTGAACAAGCTTGTCACCAACCAGACTGAAAAGGCCTGGGCTGTCGAGGTCCATCGCCCTTGCATCGTCGTCGGCGACCAGGCGCCAAATTCCGACAGCATGAACGCTATATTGCGATACTCGCTGCAAATGAGGTGTGCGCCTCTCGTGACCAGGGGTCGGGGATACATTGACTTCAAATCCGTGGATGATGTTGCCATGGGTATCGTTGAGTCAGCCCTGATTATGGCTCAACGCAGGACTGGAGGCGTGTCATTCAAGCATCACTCCAGCGGAGTCAAAGTACCTGTTGACAAGTTCAGAGAGCATTTGGAGCAGGAGTATGAGGGGAAATTTGAGTCTGTTGAGATGAAGGATTGGGTTGCTAAGGCTGGTAAGGCTGGGATTGATCCTTTGATCACGGCTTACTTGAACGGAATCTTGGAGTCGGATGAGGAGATGGTGTTTCCTTACCTAGGAGCTTGAGAGCTTCTTGTCTGAAATTGATATTTTACTCTATTTATTCCGTCGTCGGGCTCTTGATATTTGCTTTGTTCTGAATGTTTCGTTTTTATAGATTAAGATTCTGCGATTGCAGATCATACCAAGGCTACTACGCAGCTACTACCCCCTCTGCTTCTTAAACCTTACTATCTCTTTTAATCTGAGAATCTATTTAATCTAATATAACTGCCTCTTATATTAGTATTTAAGCTATTGATTGGTGCTGGCAAACCCGGTTTGTCATGCAACTGTAGAAGTCAAACAATCAGAAAGAGATAACGAGACTTATACGGCAATTCCTATAGAAGTCCTCACTTATAAAAGTTCGTAAGTACGAGCTTATCATCATCACTATCAACCATCAACTCACACGGCCCCGGCGGCGCTCGGCAGCTTGAACGTCAAAGAGTGGAGCTCTTCCGAACCCCGCAGCGGCTCCGCCGAAACCACCGGAGCGAACCGAGTCGTGAACCCCACGTGTCGCAACGCGCGGCTACCCGGGGGTCCTGCGCGCTGGCTTAAGCAAAACCCCCTACTCACGTAGGGGGGGAAAAACCCCTTACCACCGAAAAAAAACCCTTTCCACTCCTAATACCTCTTAAACAAATAAAGAAAATAATAAGATAAAATAGCTTAAAATTAAGTTTAAAAAATCTAGAATATTTCTATACTAATAAGTATAATATCTATAAAGTAATTTATAAGATATTAAGTCTTAAAGTTAGAGGGGGTTTTAAGCTATGATTTCGTATGAGGTACTTACATTCGCTAAGAAATTGTATGGTGGTAAGGGGTTTTCTCGGTGGCAAGGGTTTTTTTACCCCCCTACGTGAGTAGGGGGTTTTTGCTTAAGCCAGCGCGCAGGACCCCCGGTTAGCCAAGTCAGGTAAAAGTAAGAGGCGCCTCATTTTCAAGAATGAGACTCAATATGTCAGTCGGGACCGTGATGTAGCCATTACAAGAAGCCTCCGACATCGATCACGAGGCGGCGGGGTGAACGGATCTTGGATTGTCAGTCTCGGCCTCCGACGATGCCGTGTTGCTAGATCTGCTGAACAGACCATAACTTTGTCCCCAAGATCTGTGACGAGAAAACAAGTCTTTTGAGAAGAAGAGTCGTGAATGATAAGAGTTCTATGAAGCAAAATCAAGTCAAAACTCCAAACCCCGAGCCCTGAAGATCACCTCCAACCCTCCCTCAGGGCGTCCCATCATTCGGATTCGGAAACCTGCTCACAAACTTGGGCGTCTCCGGCGACTCCAGCCCATTGCCCTTCGGATCGCGATATCCTCCCGCGTGGTTATTCGCAAACAGTACATGCCTGCGCTCCTCCATCATCTCCGCCTCGCGCATCAAGTCCCCAGTCAGCGTGCCCGTCAGCGCATACGGCGCAGCGAACAAGTTGACCGACGCGGGGTGCGATGGTGCGAGCGTGCTGGAGCCGGTATGCTCGATGCCGGCCATGGGCGCGAAGCCTGCGGTGTTGATGGCAAACATGTCGGCAGTGGGCAGCTTAGGGGTATGGGAGTCGATGGTCGAAACACCGAAAACTGCTGGCTTTCCTTGCGCCTGGTGGTTGTTTAAGATTGTGCTGGGATGATTTTGCGGCATCACACTGGCGCGTCTCCTCCCGGACTGCGCCTTCTTCGAGTCATGTATCGTGAAGCCAGACTTTCTCGCAGCTGCAGCCGTCGAAGACTTGACAAGCATCGGTTTCTCCAGACTAGGCGGGTTGTACTTCACCCTCTTGCTCGGCCTATCGCCCACGTCAGGCACCTTAGAGTCCAGCGCCTCGTCCGAGGCCTCGTGCAGAACACCGCCAAAGATGTCCTTGATCCTGCTCACCGCCCCGCGCAGCATGTAATCGACGTCCCGCTTCAGACTATCCGCATTGATGGTGTTGATTGCCTGCTTGGTGTGACTCGTCGCATTCTGAATGGTGCACACGTAGTTCTGCACCGCCTCAAACTCCTTCGCCGGCAACAGCTCAATCTCCCTCCGCGCAAAGGTGAACAACCGCGCCGAAGACGGACGGTGCGCAATATGGATGTTGGGAATGAGCGGGAGGAGCAGCGCCCAGTTCTCCAGTTTGATCCGTGTGATCTCCCCAGACCACCCGAACAAGTACTTGGTCGTCTCGAATCCCCGTTCGAACATGGGCCTGAACTCCTCCGCGATACCCGGGTACATTCGCGTGGCTTGCGGCTGGTTGACCAGGGTGATGATCTCCTCGTGGAGGCCGGCCAACGTTTGGGCCCGAGCTTTCAGAGTGCGGATCACCGGCTGTACCGTGAACCTGATCCGATCCTCGTCGCCGAGGTTGAAGATGTCCAGGTACAAACCCGTGATTGTGTGGATTTCGTACTGAAGCTCTCCGAAATACGTCCGTAGAAGCTCGGCGAGTCTCCGGCCGGCCCCCTGCGCCACGGTGCCGATGTTGTCCCAGAATGTGTCTGCGTTGGCGAGGTTCAGCGACGGTGCCGGCAATTTCAGCTTGCGACCTTGCATGCGTTTTGTGAATCGGGCCAACAAGTTCTGGTACCCCAACAGCGCCTCGTCCTTCCATTTCTGGAGCTCCTGATGCGTCATATTCACGAGGTTCCGTCGGTAAGTCGCCCCGATCACAGCCTCGATAACAATGATGTTAGCCTGCGCGCCCGTGTTGAGGAGCAACCACTGTCTCTCTTTCCAGCTGAGGTAGTCCACCTGCCACTTGGCCTTCGCGCATGCCAGGTTCAGATGCTCCTGGGTCAGTGACATCAGGAACTCGTACACCAAAGGATTTGTCTTGAGCAAGTCATCAGGCCATTCGTTCCACAAATCCCACTGCTTCGGCAGAAGATCTTCATCTTCGAAGGTTGGCATCGTCCGGTCAGGAGGCGGAAGGATCCTGGTGGGCATGTCTGTGTTGAGGCGCATCGCGGCAGATCCAAAGCGCGGGATCTCGGTGGTCCACCACTCTTCGGTGAAGAAGCGCAGCACCTGGGCCACTGATATGAACGTCGCGTACTGGTTCGAGACGAGAACCGGGGTTTTGAGGATCGCGTCGCTGGGGTCTTTGCGTGTTTCGTCGTCGCCGGGAGGATCTTGGTGCAACGCCCGCGGCCAGCGATACAGAGTGAGCCCGCAAGCCGTAGAGTAAAGATGTTTGGGGTGGACATGTGAACTCCGGCCGATCAAAGGCCAGGCGGTGCCTCCATAGAGCTTTGAGGTTGTCAACAATACTGTGGAAGGAATCACTAGGGAGGCGTCTTACGTGATTCTCTAACGAGAAGCCCACTTCGCATCTCTGCTCTTGCTCGAAGAAAGGCTCCGGGGTTCTTTGATGGGCAAAAAGAAGTTTTCCTATGGAGGCAATCGAATTCTCCACGGCAGGATGGCCAGATATAATCGGCAGGGTGGAGGGCCCGGGCGAGTGCATCCAGTTCCTGTGGGCGTAGGTAACAGCGTGCTGTGACGTGTTAGCTAGCCGCATCATAACGAGGCTTCCTGCGAGACTAACCGCTATCTCATGAACCAAGGTAGTCGCAACACGAAAGGAAAACACAAGTCGTTCATTCGTAGTGTACCCCTCTACAAGCAACGGATAAATGTCGTCGGCGCCGAGACACGTGCGAATCGTCCCATCGTCTTCGGCAAACGTGATGCCGTTCAGGGGCTGCCCTTCTGCTTCGTTCTCCGTGTGGAATGTGCTTGTAATGTTCAACACCAGCCAGTCGTTGAGGACGTTCGCGGTGGTTTCGATGGGGTCCAGGAGCTGGTAGTACTCTGGCGGGATGAAGGGCTGGCCACCGGGGGGCAGGGGGTCAGTGTTCTTGGAGAAAGTAAACATCGGCCACCGGTCTCTCTGATCTTGCGGACGATCGTCGCGTGATTCTGGAACAGGCATTCTGTTCCAGACATCGCAAAGAGCTTTCCAAAACGGATCGTGTCCTTCGAGGTAAAAAACCATCCGAGACGCCAGTATCAAAGCGGGCTGAAGACATTCCCATACATAATCATCGCTCTGTTCGCATCTGTCCGTTAACAAGCACTCCTCAAGCTGGGAGAAGCAATTGACCTACGCCAGGATCTAGCTCGCCCTTGTGATTTCCCACTTGATAAACTAGTCTGGGCGTGTTCTCGCTATCACCGCGCCAAAGAGGCGATTCCCATCTACCCCTACGAAAAAGTCTACCAAGGAGTCAGTTGCACTTATCTTCCGAACATAGGTCATGACTTCACACCTATGCACGGGGCTCTTCAAAGTAATTCTGGAGTCGTTCCCGAACGATAAGACGCCGTGGTCCAATAGCTGAGGTTTTGTTAGCGCTGCTGTTGTCATTCGACGAATATGGTCTCACTTCGTTGGTAGTAGCTCCCAGAAAGAGAATTCTTTGCCAGTCCTCATCCTCTTGCATGCTCGTCATGGCATTCAGAACGAAGGCACTCTCTTCCGAAAGCCTGCCTTTACCGCTGGGATCCAGACTTGCGTATCTTTGCAAAAGCGCTTCGACACTGTCATCGCCCCAGTTCTTGGCGAGTTCCTCAGCCTCTCTGGCAACGTCCTCGCCACTGATCTTGTAAGCGGTGCCGCCGACGGCGAACTGTCGAAATGTGCTTCTCGTCGGCGTCATCCTAGACCGGCCGTCCTGGCGCATGGGAAAGATGCCGAATCGCAACGCCATAGCCGTGGGCTTCCGGATCTGGTCTTCGGGCCGTTGCGCGGGACGCAGGTACCGCAGCAAGTCCTTCGGTCGAACGAGGCGCTTGTGAGGGTCCTCCTCGTCGATCTCGAGCTTGGGGTCTACCCACAACGGATCGTTCCATTCCGGGATGAACTCGATGTAATTCCAGCGACCTGCGAATTCCCCCTTGGGTGGAGGTTTGGGCATGTTCACGCCCGCAAGGACGGCGTGCGGACGGCCATTCTTCTGGCGGGCGATGTACAATGCGCTTTCGTCTTTGCCTCGCTTCGCGTTGCCGATGTTCGCCTCTACGACCTCAGGGTCGGGGTGCTCGCGGGTATTCCGTATGTACCAGTCTTCATCGTAGACGTTGACTGTCTTGGGGCTTGGTGCTGCGCTATTGTACGAATCTGAGTCGTCGAATTTGGCCGTTCTGAGACTTGACGCCGAGCTGGCGGGGGAATATTGCTCGGTGTCCTGGCAATGCATTTTGCGTCGATTAGATAACAGGCGGAGTTGAGATGCGAGTTCATGGAGATCAGGTGCTTGAAGATCATGGTAGTCTGCTTTCCGACAATATTGAAGCTTCCTTCTGGGTACCGGCTGTAGTTATTCGCCTGTTGATCTTGTATATAGAAACATCAATGAAGGGCACAAGGGAGTCGAGTCCTGCTTTGAGATGAAGAATGGTGGCTATTACATTGTTTCTAGCGATTCTAAATTTGATGAAAGAAAGCATCCTGACATTGTAGACATTTCATAACGGATTTGGGAGGTTGCCATAAGCAGTGAGAGCAAGACATCGCCATAGCTGGCTGTTGATCATCGAGAGGGCATGCCAGGTTGGGGGCAGGACTTGAAGAGTTCAACAGCCAAAACAAGCCATGACTAGTGATATGTATGCTGGAAGATGCGAAGCTCGCAGTCACGAATACGCAGGAACTTGACGACAGGTGTTGGTCAGAAGCTGTGGGGTAATAAAAGACGCTGGCGAGAGCACTGGCTCTTTGCCTGTCAGTAAATCCTCATGCAAGGGATTGCTGGAGTGCGTGCACCCTGCTATGTCATACAGGAAACCAAGAAACAAAAGCGACCGTGGTCCCACAAACAATCGCGAGTCGCCGGTTCCGTTGATCCCTTGAATGACGTTGAAAGAGATGGAAAATATCGTGGAAATCAAGCACTCCACCTCGGGAGGTGCATGGCTCCGCCACGAGTCAGGTATCGGGATGGCCGCAACTATTAAGACCCAGGAATTCCTGCATTGAAAAACGGCTTCTCGAGGCCTGGTGTCGGTCATGGAATGGTTCGCGCAAGAGTCAAAAAGTAGATAGTAGTAGCAGATGAAGATGCCATTTAGAAACGCTGGACTGGCGGGGGACGCATGAGGCTGATATGCTGGCGGGAGATGGCTGGTCCTGTCTCGTATTCGAGGATTGAGATCGCCATATTTGGTGGTGGACCCATAACGCTCGCTTGCTACCGAGAGATTAGCCCAAGACAAAACAATATATCTCCGATCGCCTGTTCCAGCAAACACCCACAATACCGCATGACAGGTGTCGCGAGGGAGACTACCTGAGGCCATCGCGCGACGGGTATATATGGACGACAGCGACGGACGATAGGAACGGACGACAGGGGCCGGGACGACACAACACCCGCTCTTACCCAATTCACTCTTTAAAGCGGGTCGTAGTTGTCGAAGATGGTTCCTTCGATATTGATGCTGCTTCCGGCTGTGGCACTTGTTGCTGCAGACTGCGCTGCGGACAACTGCATTCGAGCTCTCGTCGCGACCCAGACCCCTGGACGCCTTAGTTCAGCCCAATCGTTTTGCAAGACTTTCATTGCCCAGCCGGTGGCCAGTACTGATATCCCTTCTTTTGCTTCTCACTGCTCTGGCGACTCGCTCGACGCCGGCGCATTCTCGACTCGGCTGTCGAGTGCCTGCTCCTGTATTGGAACCAGGGTGGCCGCCACCACAGCCCTTCCAACTCCCACTTCAGGCCTGCCAATCACTTCTACCACCCTCAGCCAGACGACCTCGGCGTCTTTCACGACGCTCATCAAGCCGTCAACCACACCTCCAGCGGATTCTCCAACTCCAACAGAGCCATGCGAGGTGGTAAGCCGCAGCTGGGCATCAGCGTTCCGAGGTAGGCAATTCGTGTGCATCTCGCCATGAGTCTGGCTCGCTGGGCAGTTTCAATTGGCTAGCCGTCGTCGTCTATCGTTGTTGTCATCTATCGTCGTCATGGTCTATGTCGTCATGGTCTATGTCGTCGTGGTCTATGGTCTTCGTCGATCGTCGTCCATCGTCGTCCATCGTCACTATCTATTATCATTGTCATTATCGCCGCCCCTATCGTCTTCTCTACTACTGTCGTCGTTGTAGAAGTATAGGGTACCATAGACGGCAACGAGAGACGGCAACGAGAGACGGCAACGAGAGACGACGACGACATAGGCGACGACGACATAGGCGACGACGATATAGGCGACGACGACATAGACGATGACGACATAGACAACGACGACAGAAGACGACGATAGATGACGACGACACAGACGGCGACGGCTAACCAATTGACACTGCCCGACTTCCTCGCCATATTAAATTCGAGGCTGACAAAAACTCTTTATAGGCGCATCTCCCACTGTACCAGCCAAAGTCGCGTACGACTGCCTCAAGTCGGTGCCTCTGCACAAGGACGCTGCCATCGAGCTAGTCGATTCAATCCGGCCGTACCTCGAGTGGCAGTCGGACCTGGCGTTCCTCAAAAGCCCGCCTGCGGACTATGAGCCTGGCCCTTTCGACATCGTCGGCCACCTAGAGAAAGTGCGCGCCAATCTTGAGGCCAACGAATACGACGGCGAGCTAGCGTTCCAGGAAGACCTTTTCGCTTTGACAGCGAAGGCTCGTGACGGGCATTTCCAATTCATGCCTGACGCTTTAACTGGCGTCTTCGAGTATGTGCGTCCGTTCGGGCTGGTGTCTTACAGTAAGGACCCGACATCGCTTCCGGTCATCAAGAAATGGGAAGAGGTCGGCGCGAAGCGAGACGAGGCCAGGATTCTGACGCGGCTGAACGGAGTCAATTCGTCGGAATACGTTCAGAGCATCGTCCAGACGGTTGCCGGAAACCAGGATCTGGATGCCGCATACAACGCCATGTTCTTTTCCAGAGCCAAGATCAACGCCGGGAGCACTTCGGGCTTGTTCAGGATTGGCGGTTGGCACAAGTACCTGTACCCTGGTGAGAACACGACGGCAGAGTTCGCAACAGGCGAGACGGAGTCCGCCGCCAATATTGCTGTTGTCAAAGCCAGCTTTGCAGGCGTGACGGATGGAGAGTCGTTTTACCAAAAGTTCTGCGCTGGCAACTCATCTTCGCTGGGTACAGCTGCCTCGCAAGCCTCAACGACGGAGGATGACCAGCTCGAAGCAGCCCTATCTCCAGTGGTTAGCACCAATGATGGAAAGGTCTCAGGCTTCTACTTGGACGCCGGTGACCTTGAAGATGTGGCAGTGCTGTCCATCCCCGGCTTTGACACCGGCAGTCCAAGGACATTCCAGAAAGCCGTTGAGGAGTTCCTCCAGGCATGCCGGTCTGATGGCAAGTCCCGTATCATTATCGACTTGCAGATGAACCCGGGTGGATATGTTTTGTCAGGAATCGATCTGTTTCGCCAATTCTTTCCGAAGATTGAACAAGGAGGTTTCAGCCGGTGGAGAGAAAATGAGCAGTTCATGGCGATGGCCAATATTGTGTCTGACGCCACCGGAAAGATCGACCCCGCAACGTCGCCGAGCGAGGAGGCTGTGAGCTGGGCTCAAAGCTGGTGGAACTACCGCTTCGACCTCGACGTGTCTGGGAAGAAATTCACTTCCTTCGACGCCAAATTCGCCCCCAACATGTGGGCTGGCGACCCGTACACAGCCGTCGTCCGTTCGGATCTGAGTAATAACCTGACAACGGGAAACGAAACATTCGGCATCGGCATCGAGGTAACGGGGTACGGAAACCGTCGGAACTTTACTCAGCCCTTCAAAGCCGAGAATATTATTCTGCTGACGGATGGGTACTGCGCCTCGACTTGCTCCCTATTCGCATCAGAGATGAAAAGAGTGGGCGTTAAGAGCGTCGTAGTTGGCGGCAGACCTGAGAAGAAGCCAATGCAAGCAGTAGGCGGTGTGAAAGGCGCCCAGGTTTTGCGATACAGCGACATCTTCAACCTGACCCAGGAAGCTCTCGCGTCTGAATTGGTAGAGGTTTCTGCCGAGCAAAGGGCGTTGTTGCAACGGTTGACGGACCTACCAATGCGACGAAGCACAGACGCCCGTCTGAATGTGCGGGACCAGATCTTGGCCGATAATCTGGAGGATGGTGTTCCAGCCCAGTTTGTCAACGAGCCTGCCGACTGTCGTCTCTTCTGGACTTTGGACATGATGGCCGATGTGTCGGAGGTTTGGAAAGCTGCGGCTAATGCCGCCTGGGGTAGTGCTGGCTGCGCGTCTGGAGGGTTTGAGAAGGGTGCCATCACATCGAAGCCGACGATGATGAAGGCGACTGCTGCAAGACCACTGCGTGAATCCACCGTGGTTTCGGATGCGGAGCCGGGACATCACGTATCGGAGATGACGCTCGATAAGCATAACCAGAGGGTCCACATCGTGTGAGATGGTGATCTCTTGGGGCGTCTCGGGCTCTCGAAATGAAGCCCATCATTATGTAGCTTGATTCCTATATACAGCCCCCCTGTTTTTCCTGTGCTAGAGCCACCACCTTTCCTGTGTGATCGCTATCTTCAGTACTGTCGTAGTCGTTGTTATCGTTGCTGTTATGGTTGCCCCTCGTCGTTGTCCCTCGTCGTTGTCCCTCGTCGTCGTCTATCGTCGTCGTCTATCGTGTTCCCTTGTCCTCTGTCGTCGTGTCTGTCGTCGTGTCTGTCGTATGTCTGTCGTTATATCTGTCGTTATATCTGTCGTTACATCTGTCGTTACATCTGTGATGATGCCTAGCATCGTATCTATTGTCACATCTATCGTCGTGTCTATCGTCGTGTCTATCGTCTTCCCTTGTCGTCTATCACCGTCGCCCCTCGTCGTCCTCATTAAAGTCGACGAGTACACAGGAAATGTAGCCGCCCAAGCACAGGGACTAAGGCGATCTCCCTATGTATTCAACCACAGCAGCAACATCATCAATACCCCATTATTGTTGCCATTGAAGGTCGCGATGATGTATGAGAGCCGCATGCACATCTGCCATCCAGTTGACACCAAGAACAGACAGCAATGGTTCATCGCCATTGACGCCGGTGTGGACGTTCAACGATAATCCTTGGTGATGGCCTGCCACCTCCTGACAATGCCACCCGGCGCATTCTCGCAGACACTTCGGACCCAAAAGCGTAAATCTTATTCCACCGGTTCGTGACGACGGGAGTAAGGTAGGTTTGTTGAGGCACCAGGCAGGGGGGTG